AATAGAACTAAACGTCAATGAAACAAAAAATTTGGAAAACACAAAAAATATTTTTGAATATATGGAAACACTTAATGAACAAGCTCAACAAGATCTTAATAACGAACCAGATACAGAATCGCTGATTGTTGAAATTGATGAAGATAATAGACAAGAAGAAAACCCTGATGACGGTGAGACGATACACACCAATGTAGAAAATCCTACCCCCGGAATTCCTATTTCCGAAAACCCTGTAAACACGGGAATTAACCAAATTTTTATCTCTGAAGTGAATTTTAATCCTGCTAGTCCCACCATAATCAAATTATTTGATAAAAGACAAAGAATTCTTGTCCAGTTCTCAAAAAACAATTTTGAGCGTGATGTTATTGATTTTATTAAAGAATATACCACACCCAAAGTAAAATATCACCTTTATTTTGAAGATCCACTATACGAGAAATTTAGCGTTGTTGTCCAAAAATATTTTACAAATTCTCAAATATCATTTATTAATTGCACTAAGAAACTTATCGATGTTCCTATAAACGACATTAAAGAAATAATTAGAAATTATCATGAAGGCAAGGAATATCATAGAGGTTTAGATGAAAGGGATAACCGAATTAAATCATTATATTATTGGCCCAATCAACGAGCTTCTATACAAACTTATATTAATGAATGCGAAATATGCCAATTAACAAAATATGATAGGGATCCAATAAAGCCAATATTTAGCATTACTTCTACAGAAATTAAACCATTTCAGATTTTACATTTAGATTCCATAACACTTGAAAATACCAAATTTCTAACGATAGTCGATTCCTTTTCTAAATATGCCCAACTTTATAAACTTAATTCTGCTCAAGGTATCGAAGTAGCAAACGCTTTGATTAGATTCTTTACTCACCATAGTATCCCAGAACAAATCATTTCAGACAATGGTACAGAACTAAAAAATTCAGTCATTAAAGATTTATTAGCATTACATAAGGTAAAAATCCACTTTATCTCCTCCCAGCATCCAGAATCAAATGGTATAGCTGAAAGATTTCATTCAACTATTATTGAACATATCAGGTTACTAAACAATCAAAATGAGTATAAATCCGACCCAATAGAACAAAAAGTAAACTATGCATTATTAGCTTACAACAGTACTATCCACACCGTAACTAAAATGAAACCCCATGAACTAGTTACGGGACATTTAGACACCAACTCCCCATTTAACATTGACCTAGTGCAACAATTAATTAATAATTATATTTCTAATCATAAGGATAAAATGAAATTACTATATTCTAATATTAACGAAAAACTTCAAGAAAATAAAACAAAAGTTATAAATAAAGCAAATGAATCACGCGAGGAATTACCAACAGAAATTCCTACCGAAGTATTTTTGCGAAACAGACAAATAAAAGGAAAAACTAAAAATAAATATTAAAAAGAAAATATTAAATCCATTAATAAATTTAAGAAAACAGCAAAACTTATTAAGCGACATAAAAATACTACCGAAAACATTCACCTTTCAAATGTAAAACGACCTAAAAGGAAAACTTATATTTTTCCAGGTTCGTCACGATCGGACATACAACAGCCGAAATAAAGGATATCACCCACAACCTAGGCATTCTACCTATAAAATTAGGAACCGCAAAACTCCAAAAATCTAGTCATACATTTGTACATTTTTATAATTTAAAACCACTTGTAACTGAATATGACAACCTAAACAAGCAATTTGAGTATCTTAAAAATAACATTTCTAACAGCGAATTCTTTAAATCAGAGACGTACAACTATGTTAATATTATTCAATATATCAAAAATAGCATAAAATAAAAATTTAGCGGTCTAAATATTCATATTAATTTAACAAGAAGGAAAAGAGGCTTGATTAATGGCTTTGGTTCAATAGTAAAAGCAATCACAGGAAATTTAGACGCCGAAGATGGCGAGAAAATAAACTTAATACTAGAACATTTGAAAACTAATCAACAAAAATTAGAACATCAGATACTCAATCAATATTCCCTCAATCAACAAATCATAGATAACTTCAATAAAACCATTCAAGATATTCAAACAAATTAAATAATTCTTAAAACAAAGATTTTTGAAATAAAAGATATTGTCGATTTTCAAACCAAAATTGAGAACGTTATTTATCTAAAAGACATGTTCAATGAACTCATTATCACATAATATAATTCTATACTTGATGTAATGGAGACTGTAGAAAGTTCTATTACTTTTTGTAAGCTCAAAACCTTACACCCTAGTATTATTAAATCTAGTGACCTATTTCGAGAATTACAAAGAATCTCTTTATTTTACAAAACACAATTACCATTTGAATTAAAACACGAAAATATTTTAGATTTTGAATCCATTCTGGAAATCACCTGTAAAATAGAGGAAAACCAAATTCAATATTTTCTGACAATTCCTATCGATTTTGAGAGCATCTTTGATCTTTATTATTTATTACCTATACCCACACAAATTGAGTCAGAATTTGCAATAATAATACCTAATACAAGATATTTGTTAAAAAATAAAAATACAATAATACCTCTCAACGACATCTGCACCCACGGTAAAATTTTCCAATGTCCAAGCCGTCTACAAAATAACCAAGAACACCTATGCGAAAAGGAAATAATCTTACGAGAAAACTCCAGTAATTGTCAATATATTAAGGCAGACATCCCAGGCAATCACATCGAAATCATACCAGAGATGAACCAGTTTTTAGCAATATTTCCTATGGAGGAAAAATTAACTTTTAAATGCTCTGAAGGAACTCAAATTCAAACACTGACAGGCATCTTTCTGATCGAAAATACACAGTGTACAATCCTTTTCAGAAACCAAAAATTGTTGTTCCAAGATCGAACCTTTGGACAAACAATTTTAATCACCGAGCCAAAATTAAAATTCAAAGAATTAAGCATTTCACCTATGAAAATAACTTTGAAGAATTTAAAATTTGAAAAAAAATCCCACAAACAGAATCACACCCATCATGGAAGAAAGAGAAAATTACCACATTCCCAGCATATGGACCATTATATTATATCTTGCAATCATTCTAATAATCATCTACATTACCTATTAGAAAATAACGATAAGAAAGAGAAAAGAAACCAAAAGAAAGGAAGACATAAAAATGTCAAACATACAGGACCCAGACGATTCCAATTCAAAAATTCACCTCCCAGAAGGAGCCTCAATTTAGGGGAAGAGGAGTTATAGAGCGACGCCTATGGATTTATTCGTGCCATGGACTTAAGACTGCTGACATGATTAAAGCATTGAACTCTAGAGTGCTGACGCTATATTTGCATAATATTGTGAATTGTATAATTGCAATTGTATATGTGTTATTTTAATTAATATTTTATTCAGTTTAGAATCTGATTTTATTGTAATTAGTCGTTTAGCTCTTAATAAATTCTTTTTTAAAAAAGGACTTTTGGCATTCCCAAATTTGAGTTTATATATATATATATATATATATATATATATATATATATATATATATATATATATATATATATTATTACATTTCAAATTCTATTCGAAATCCTTTGTAATTATCTACCGTGCAATAATGTTGTCTGTTAATAATGAGTCCTATTAGATTGTCAAGACTGATGTCAGTGGCTTGAGTTGAAACTACATTTATTTCATCAGTTCAATGTTTCGTTGCCTTTTTTAACTTTAGCAGGACATACTACAAAACTAACTTACTAAATTAACAATTAGATACAAACGTAGCATTCATAATTTTATAACTTACCAAATATTGTATCTTATTTTATAAAGCAACTTATAACAGAGCTACACGACGAATAAGACGGCACTGACTTAGATCTTTTAAATCATGTATCATTAGGGCCAACTAGCTTTTTTGTCAAACCAGATTATCTAACCAAAAGATAGCTATTTTTTGTTTATCAGAAAAAATAAAGTCGATCATCTTAAAAAAAGTATTCTTACTTAGTATGTTATTTGGTTGAACTAACTGCCAATTTTGTACTTTAATTTTTATGATCACGTTAAAAGAAATATTCTTGAAAAGTAATACCGCATCTAGTGATAAAAGTACATAGGTTTGAGGAATAGTAACATTCCTGCGGTATCATTTCTCATGCATCCTCCTTTTAATATGATCATAAAAATTTTAAAACAAAACTAGCACTTAATAGAACCAAACACCTTAGTAAGAATAATTTGTTTAAGTTAGTCGACTTTATTTTTTTTATGAATTTTTCCTTTGGAGGAACTTTTCACTCACAAATCGTTGGCACTCCCATGGGCTCTCCGTACAGCCCAATTGTAGTCAACATAGTTTTAGATAAAATATTCAATATAATTATTTCATGACATATGTTTAAATTACCGTTCATATACAAATGTAGAAATGTGATAAGTGCGATTCCCAAGAACAGTAAACTTCATTTAAACTACACTTGACTCTTCAGTCTTCAATAGCCTCTACAAGCACCTACAATTTATTGTTGAAGGCTATCAGGAACAAAGTGTTTCTTTTCTAGTCAAAAAGGTTATAAAAACATCAGAAAATAAGATCATTTTGGATTGGTATCAGAAACGAACTAGTTCTGCATTGTTTTCGACGCCTACTTGTCTTATTTTGTTTGGTTTTTAGCAGTATATTTAAACTGTCTCACTGTTTACTTATCACTAATTTTTACATATTTTTATGGTCCTTATAAAATAATAGATTACATGAGTTGTATCAAAAAATAATAATAGGTTTTGTATTTGTTTTGTTCTCAAGCACCTGAACTTGTTATATTTTCATTTTTCTTAATAAGTGCCCGTACATACGTCTAAAAGGTAAATTGAGTTAGTTACCAAAATAACATTTATTGTTGTTAAATAACTTGTATGATAAAAAGTACATAATTAGAGCTAAATTTAATACAATGTTGGTTATTTCTCATTGAACATATGTTTTTTGTTTTTCTTTTTAGGTGTCCGAACTTACAATACAAGTAACAGCAAAGGAAGTTTAGATTGATATAAATGAAAACGTTTGGAATAAATATTTATAAATATTTGACTTTTATTTATTATACTTATGTAAACACTGAACCAAATAACCAGATTTAGACGTTAAAATTTATTGGCACTTCTGTGCCTCAATATTACCTCAGTATGGTTTACTCAGCACCATTTTGTATTTGATGGAGTTGTTTTATCAAATATGGTTTTTGCTGATACATAAATAATACAAGCTAATTAAGTTTGGACCTAATCAATGACTTGTACATAAAAGTTAGAGTTTTACTATCTGCTCCTCACGTAAACAGTGTAGGTTTACGAGTACATTTTGGATAAATAAATCTGTTTATTTGATCTGAATATCAAATTATTCCATAATAATTTGTTAACAAATATCATGCCTAATTATTTAAATTTCCCAACATATTTTATTTCTTTATTAATCAGTTGTAAGTTTTAGCTGATATACCTTTTTTTTAATAACGTAGCCTTTGATTTTGTTGTTGCTAATTGAAGACCAGTAACATTTGTCCTCTCCAATAAACCAGTAAAATAAAGTTTTATCATTTATCCTCTCAAAAATGACTAAACCATCAGCTTTAACTGGTTGGTCATAAGTGGAGATTATATTATTTATCTCTTACAGACCCACGATAAGATAAGGTTTTGCAGAATAAATAGACATTAGTTAAAGAAACAATTATGATTTGTTTTTCGAAAACTATATAGATTCTAAAACTGCTCAAAACAAACACAAAATTTAACATAATGGACATCGGTTAAAGTGATATAATTATTGTTTATTTTCCGAAAACTGTACAGTTTCTAAAAACCATTAAACTCTACCTGAAGATTTAACCTAATAGACATTAGTTAGTGATTATTTTTCATTTTTAATATTTGTTATATATATATATATATATATATATATATATATATATATATATATATATATATATGTAATAAAATCATAATTTCATCATTCAAATATTGCCGCGCTCTACCGAGCACATTATCTGGAATGTTAGACACAACCACTTCTGTCATCTTTATATTTAAAAACTTGTCACGTTGTCAGAGATTATTTGTAGTTAGGATAGGAATATTAAAACATCCATAGTTAGTGACATTAAATGTCGTGTCTTTAATTTCAGGTAAAATTTTGTGTAAATAATGTAAATAAAACATGTTTTAATATATCTTTAATTTCAGAAACTCAGTTTTGTTACTAATTATCAAAAGGAACCTTATAAAACGACATTTTTGGTCATGGAAAAATTGAGATTCCAATTCATAATACTAGAATCATGAGACGGTAAATCAAATGAAATATGTATTGCCTCAATTGAGACTCCAGATGGTCGTATTTTTGATATCCCAGACGAATTTAAGCAGGTAAATAAACATACATACATATCTAGATCCAGTTCATTTACAAAAGTAAAAAACTCATTGAAAAAAAGAGGTCAAAACCGAAATATATGGATCCCACTAGATGATGAAATAAGGAAGATTTATTTGGATGAAAATGAAAATTTACAAATAAGTCAAAAAGTGACTATTCAAAATGATGTTACTACAGAAATTAAAACAGTTTCAAAAAATTGTGACATTACATTAGTGAAATTAAGAGATAATAATCAAAAAATAAATTTTGATTTTAAGGAAACAAATGAACTTAATAGTTTAAATGATATTAGAAATAAATATTTAATAAATTTCAATGAACACTTTGACGAGACAAATTTTAAAATTCATGTAGACCATTTAGATTGTGATCAACAATCAATAATAAATGAATTAATATGTGAAAACAAATCTGTCTTTGCAAACGACAAATATGATGTAGGGACAGTGAAGGATTATGAAGCACATATTGATTTATTGGAAGAGAAATATTGCAGCAAAAGGCCATATCAAACCACAATTGATGATAAAAAGGAGATCGAGAAACAAATTGCGTTGCTACTAGACAAGAATCTAATAGAAGAATCGTATAGTCCTTTTGCAGCCCCAGTTACATTAGCTTATAAAAGAGATGAAAATACAAAGTCAAGATTGTGCATTGATTTTAGAGACTTGAATAAAATTGTAGTGCCCCAATCACAACCCTTTCCACTTATAGAGGATTTAATGGTTAAGACAAGAAATTGAAAATTTTTCTCAACATTGGACATAAACTCTGCTTTTTGGTCAATCCCTATGCGCATTACAGATAGGCACAAAACTCGATTTGTTACACAAGAAGGACACTTTCAATGGACTTGTTTACCATTTGGGTTAAAAACATCTCCAGCAATATTCCAAAGAATAATGTGTAACGTAATAAGAAAACACAAACTTGCAGATTTCACAGTGAGCTACATAGATGACATACTCATTTTTTCAAAATCATTCCAGGAACATATCAGACATCTAGCACAACTATTTAAAGCAATCAAAAGTGAAGGATTCAGATTAAAATTTGTAAAATGCATGTTTGCAGCTGAATCAGTAAAATACTTGGGTCATGTAATAAAAAATAATTGTGTAAAGCCACTGAAGGACAACTTGATTTCAATAAAAAACTTTCCAATACCTAAAACACAGAAAAATGTTAGACAGTTTCTAGGGAAGATAAATTTTTATCATAAATATGTGCCAAAAATAGCAATAAAATTGGATCCTTTGCATAATCTGCTGAGAAAAGGTCAACCTTTAATTGGACTAAGGAATGCCAAAAAACATTTGAAAAGTTAAAAAATGTATTGTTAACTCAACCTGTACTATTTTCGATCCAACTCTACCGATACACATTTTACTAGGGATAGCAGGGGTGCTAAAACAACCACAGGAAAACAATGAAGAAAAACCAGTGGCCTATTTCTCTAAGAAACTAAATGAAGTACAGAAGAGAAAAAAACTATATACCTGGAGTGCCTGGCAATTAAAGAATGTGTTATATATTGGCAACATTACTTAATAGGTAAGAAATTTACTATTTTTCTGACCACAAGCCATTGGAGAATATGAATATAAAGTCTAGAACAGATGAAGAACTAGGTGATTTAACATATTATCTATCGCAATATGATTTTGTGGTGAAATATTGCCCTGGAAAATATAACTTAGAAGCTGACTGCCTTAGCCGAAATCCTGTCTTAGAACCCGATGAAAATATGGAGGAGCAGTTGAAAGTTACAAATTTGATAACTCTTGAAGATATATTGAAAGACCAAGAAAAAAATAAAGATATAAAACATAATAATAAACTAGTAAATAAAAATAATGTTTATTACAAAAAAGTAAGAGGAAATGAAAAAATTATTCTAACCGAAGATTATACTATACAATTTTTAAAAGATGTGCATAGAAACTTGTGTCATATAGGAATAAAACAAATGCATATGATGATAGGACCATACTATACAGCTAAAAATTTAACCAAAAATATAAAGGAAATATGTCAAAGCTGTGCAGTATGTATTAGAAACAAATCAAGAGGACTAGGAAAATTTGGATTAATGTCACATTTAGGTCCAGCCACAAAACCTTTTGAAATTATTTCCATAGACACAATCGGAGGTTTTGGAGGTTCACGATCTACAAAAAAATATTTACATCTTCTAGTCGATCACTTTACAAGATATGCATATATCCTAACATCGAAAACTCAAACTGCTAATGATTTTATTAAACTTGTGAAAAGCATATCAGAGACAGATCAGATTAGTATGATTCTAATAGACCAATACCCAGGAATAAATTCAAAACTTGTCACGTTGTCACAGATTATTTGTAGTTAGGATAGGAATATTAAAACATCCATAGTTAGTGACATTAAATGTCGTTTCTTTAATTTCAGGTAAAATTTTGTGTAAATACTGTAAATAGAACATGTTTTAATAAATCTTTAATTTCAGAAACTCAGTTTTGTTACTAATTATCAAAAGGAACCTTATAAAACATTTTTGGTCATGGAAAAATTGAGATTCCAATTCATAATACTAGAATCATCAGACGGTAAATCAAATGAAATCTGTATTGCCTCAATTGAGACTCCAAATATTCGTATTTTTGATATCCCAGACGAATTTAAGCAGGTAAATAAACATACATACATATCTAGATCCAGTTCATTTACAAAAGTAAAAAACTCATTGAAAAAAAGAGGTCAAAAACGAAATATATGGATCCCACTAGATGATGAAATAATAAAGATTTATTTGGATGAAAATGAAAATTTACAAATAAGTCAAAAAGTGCCTATTCAAAATGATGTTACTACAGAAATTAAAACAGTTTCAAAAAATTGTGACATTACATTAGTGAAATTAAGAGATAATAATCAACAAATAAATTTTGATTCTGACTTCACGTCGAACCTTTGTCGTTAACAGACGTGTTTAATAGCTAGCCTAATTACACCTAGTTTTTTGCGATATTATTTATATTCAGTTGATAAAATTGCAATAAAGTGTAGTGTTAATATAAAAATAAATTTGAACTACTTGGAAAAAAACTGTAAGTAGTATTTATTATAATATAATTAAAGATACTTATATCAAAACAAGTTCCTGCTACCGGATGTATCAACTACCCAACTTTTGGTACCTCATTACCGATTCTGTTGTGACAAACAGGACCGTCTGAAGAATAGAGGTACCAAAATATGAATAATATTTTTAAAAATGGATGAAGATTCTGTTGGTTCTGTTTCTTCTCCTAACAATAATCAACCATGTTCATATTCCAACGCTGTTACTTCATTTAAATATCCAACCAAAAACCAAGCCATTGTCCTATCTGCTCTCAATGGAATAAAAATAAATGAATACGTAATAGCAATAGGAAATATAGTAAAACCAGAAAATATATTATTTGCATCCCGCATCTCAAATAACAGAATTTGTATTTATCTCTCCAATACCGAAGTCGTCAATACATTGCTGAAGACACATACATCAATATCCATTAATGATTCAGAAGTTGAAGTAAGACGTCTAATTACTCCTGCTACAAGACTGGTCATCTCAAATGTCTGTCCCACCATACCAAACTCAGTACTT